ACAAGTTGAAAGAATTTGTCACAAATCATCTGGCATAACAAATGATTCTAAAGGATGTGCTGCACAAAGAAACACAGAAAGATAGTCATAATTATGAAAGAATGTGAAGATAGAAAACTCCCAGTAAAACTACAAAGGAGGGGCCAGCGCTGTGCCACAGCGGGTTAAAGCCCTGGCCTGAAGGGCCAGCATCCCATATGGGAGCCGGTTCTATTCCCGGCTGCCCCTCTTCCAATCCAGCTCTCTGTTACGGCCTGGGAAAGCAGTAGAAGATGGCCCAAGTCCTTGGCCCCCATCCCTTGTGGATGGGAGACCTTGAGGAAGCTCCTGCTACTGGCTTTGGACTGGCTCAGCTCCAGCTGTTGTGGCCATCTGGGGAATGAACAAGCGGATGGAAGACCTCTCTCTCTCTGTCTATCTGTAACTCTGTCTTTAAATAAATAAAATAAATCTTAAAAAAAAAACTACAAAGGAAATCCAAAGCAAACAATAATAATACTTATAGAAAAATTGCAGGGCCAAATGTCCTAAATTCTCCAATTAAAAGATAAAGGCTTGTTGAAATGATGAAAAAACGTGACTCATCTAATTGCTTCCTACAAGAAACATACTTTGCAAACAAAGATACACACAGACAGAAAGTGAAAGGATTGAAAAAGATATTCCATGCTATTGAAGGCATCAAATAAATGAGCTACTGATGCATGAAAAAGGACCCAAAACAACAACAAAGCAATTCCAAATTTAGTAGGAAGAAATAATAAAAATTAGAAAATAATCAAAATTTAAACCAAAAAATACAATCAGTGAAACGAAGAGGTGTTTTCTTGAAAAAATAAACAAAATTGATACACTATTGGCCCAACAAACCAAAAAAAAGAGGGAGAAGACTCAAATAAATATAATCAAAGATGAGAAATGGTATGCAACAATGTTTACCACAGAAATAAAAAGAATCATCAACAATTACTACAAAGAGCTGTATGGGAACAAATTGGAAAATCTAGAAAAAATGAATAGATTCTTGGGTACATACAGCTTCCAAAATTGAATAATAAAGACATCAAAATCCTAAACTGACCATTAACCAAAAAAAGATTGAATCAGTAAAAAAGAGATTACAAACAAAAACAAAAAAAAGCTCAAGTCTGGATATTTCACTGTGGAATTCTTCTAGACTTTGAAAGAGCTAATTCCAATTCTCCTCAGACTTTTCAGAACAATTGAAAGGGAGGGATTCCTGCAAAGCTCCTGCTAAAGGTCCTTCTATAGGTCCATCCTAATTATTAAACCAGAAAAAGATACAATAGAGAAAACAAACTATAGACCATTATCCCTGACAAACATCCTCAACAAAATACTAGCTAATCAAATCCAACAACACATCCGAAAGATAATTACCCAGACCAGGTAGGATGTATCACTTGAATGTAGGGATGGTTAAACATATGCTAATCAATAAATGTTTTACACTACAAAAAGATAATAAAGAACAAAATCCATAAGATTATTTGGATAGATGCAGAGAAAGCATTTGATAAATTACAGCATCCTTTCATGATGAAAGCCTTAAGCAAATTGGGTATAGAAGGAGCATTCTTCAACACCATCAAGGCAAATTATGACAAAAACATAGCCAATGTCTTACTGAATGGGGGAAAGTTGGAAGCATTTCACATAAGATCCAGAATCAGATAAAGACGCACTCTTTCATCACTGTTATTCAATATAATCCTGGGAGTTTTAGCCAGAGCCATTAGACAAAAAATAGAAAACAAAGGGATACAAATTGGAAAGAACGAAGTCAAACTATCGCTATTTGCAGAAGACATGTTTCTAGGTTAGGGGAACCAAAAGACTTCAGTAACACTACTAGAACTCAAAAATGAGTTTGGTAAAGTGGCAGGATATATATTTTTTTCAGATTTATTTATTTATTTGAAAGTCAGAGCCACAGAGAGGCAGAGACAGAGGTCTTTCATCAGCTAGTTCACTCCCCAAATGGCCTTCATGGCCAAAAATGAGTCAGTCTGAAACTGGGAGATTCTTCTGGATCTCCCACACAGGTGCAGAGGCCTATGCACTTGAGCTATTTTCAACTGCTTTCCCAAGCCATAGCAGAGAGTTGGATCAGAGGAGAAGCAGCCAGACTAGAAGAGGCAGCCATATGGAATGCTGGCACTGCAAGTGCCAGCTTTACCTGCTATGCCACAGCACTGGCCCCAGGTTAAAAAATTAACACACAAAAATCAGTATCCTTTGTATAGACATATAATGCCATGGCTGAGAAAGAACTCCTAAGAACAATCCCTTTCACAATAGCCACAAAAAATTTAACCAATTGTCGCTCCCCGTCTTCGTGGAGGAACTACACAGGACCCTGCGCTGTTCTTTCGTCTGCTCGGCCCTCCCCGGGTTTGCTGCTGGTTCTTCCCGGTTTGGCTGCTGGTCCTTCCCAGGTTGGCTACCATCCCTTCCACCTCCGTGGAAGGGCAGTTCCCCCTGCCACTTTCCCCACTTCCGCGGGGGAGCGGCACACCACCGGCCGGCTCTCTCGGGGGCTGCACAGGTGTTCCTTCAGATAGATGTTCCCCTTAGATGTTCCTGGTGCATGTTGTCTCTCTCCTCCTTTATAGTCCTCTTCCACCAATCCCAACTCTGCTACCCACACGCCGAGTACGCTGCTCTCCTCCAATCAGGAGCAGGTCCTACAGTTTATTGGTTGAACTGGAGGCAGCTGTGTAGAAGCTGTTTCCTCCTCTCCCAGCGCCATATTGTGGGAGAGCAGATGCATAGAATAAGTCTTAATTCCAGTAACTTAGTCTAGTCTGAGTTGCTCCCAGTTGCTCCCCACAACCAATGAGGTGAAATATATCTACAATGAAAATTACAAAACTTTAGCAAAATAAACAGAAGAAACACAAAAAAATGGGAAAATCTTCCAAGTCCTTTTATTGAAAGAATGAAAATAATCAAAGTGTATATACTACCAAAAGCAATTTACAGATTCAGTGCAATTCCAATCTAAATTTACCAATGATATTCTTCCCAGATCTAGATAAAATGATTCTAAAATTCATACAGAAACACAAGAGTCTCTGGTTACCTAAAGCAATCTTACACAACAAAAACAAAACCAGAGGCATCACAATACCAAATTACATGACATACAACAGGGCTTTTATAATGAAAATAGCCTGGTACTGGCAAAAACAATAACAAAAAAGATATGAAGACCAATAGAACAGTATAGAAACTCCAGAAATCAATTCATGCATCTACAATCAACTAATCTTGGACAAGGTGGCTAAAATCAATCCCTGGAGAAAGGACAATGCTGCTATGAAAACTGGGTCTGTGCATACAGAAGTATAAAACAAGACCCCTACCTTATAACTTATACAAAAATCAATGCAAAATGCATGAAGGATGTAATTAATTCCTGTCTTTTTCAGCAAAATGGATGCAACTGGAAACTATTATTCTTTCTGAAATATGCCAGTCCCAAAAAGACACAAACCTTATGTTTTCCCTGATCTCTGGTAACTAATAAAGTACTAATAATATAATGTCTAGGAGTGAAATTGACATTTTGATATTCAATGATTGTTTATAGCACTTGTCTCTATTGTTGTTGAACAGTGCTTTCTTCTTACTTTGTGTTGAACTCTTTACTTAGTGTAGGGTAAATCCTATGAGTAAACTACAAGTAGGTCATTGTAATAATGAATTGAGGGAATAAGAGGAATGTGATAAATTATGAGATCATAGACAGGAGGGAATGTAGGGTGGAAAGTATTACTACATTACTAAACCTGTATGTTTGATATACATGAAATTTGTTTACCTCAAATAAAATTTTAAAATGGTACTCTTGGGCTGGCACCCTGGGTTCTAGTCCCGGTCAGGGTGCTGGATTCTGTCCCAGTTGCTCCTCTTCCAGTCCAGCTCTCTGCTGTGGCCCAGGAGTGCAGTGGAGGATGGCCCAAGTGCTTGGGCCCTGCACCTGCATGGGAGACCAGAAGAAGCACCTGGCTCCTGGCTTTGGATCAGCGCAGTGCGCCCGCCGCAGCAGCCATTAGGGGGTGAACCAATGGCAAAGGAAGACCTTTCTCTCTGTCTCTATCTCTCACTGTCCACTCTGCCTGTCAAAAAAAAAAAAAAGGTACTCTTGAACCAGTGTTAATTTTTATATTTGAACTCTTATTTGATCTCTCTAATGAATGAGGATTATACACACATGCTAAATTAAACTCATGAATTTATAGATTTATCCAATGTTGAGTCATAATACATTATCCCTTCATTTGGAAAGACTGTAATGAAATGTGTGAAAGCACATAGTAATAAGTAATAATAAACTCTTAAAGTTTCAGCTGCAGGAAGCCAGAGAAAACAAAGACCTCTGAAGAAATTATGGTTGACATATACATTTATAGATACATTGTGAATCGATGTCAACATGATACAGGAGTCTGGAGAATTGAGGAAGATTTATTAAAGATAATTGTGTTTGCCTATAACTCAGAGGCTGTTTATGTGGATAACATTAATAATGGCAGGTAAAGTTCATTGAGGTATTGCTTTTGCCAGGCAGTGAGCTAAGAATCTCATCTTAATTCTCATAGAAAATTCCTTTTACCAGTGAAGTTATTAAAGTTTAAAGAATTGATATTACCAAAATGATAAAACATGGAGCTAGAGCAAGCCATGGTGTCTCATCCCAGAGTCCTTGTCGTAATCAGGGCTTAAACCACATTACCTGTTACAGCTGTGAACCTTTAGGACAGAGTGTCAAGATATGAAGTGAGAACTAGGAAAGCGTAAGCAGATGGAAAGAGTAAAGACTGGCAGAGATACAGAAGGAGACCTGTTGTTAAAAAGTCAGGAAATATGACATCTTGGGGAAGTATACTCATTCCATTAATTAATGTTTTCTATAAATATAGGAAAGAGAATATTATCTCTATAGATATTTAATTCTTTTTTTTTTTTCAGGATAAAAAATTATGTATATTTGATCAAACTCAGTTCATAATACAGCAAAAGTGTGTAGAGAATAGTAATTCCTGCTATAGCATGTTTAGTCATTTGGCAACAGATAAAGTTGGTCGAAGGAAGGCCAGGAAACTTTGTCTTGGAAGGATTAGAACCGAGGGGCTCCATAATCATCTGGCATTCGCTCGATGTTGTATCTGTGGTTAGAAATATACATGATAGGAACTCCAGGAATCTTCCGGATTCTTCGTTTTAGGTCCCGGTCAACTGTGGCCACAATGTAACACTTGTGCTGAGTCACTCTCTGGACTAGGCAGTCATCTGCATAGGTTCCTTTGTGTGCGCATGGTAATCGCTCAAATCTTGGATCCTTGGCAATCCTTAGTGCCACTCGATACTTCTGCCCCAATTTCTCAATTTCTGCCATTACACAATCAGTTATACAAGGAATACACTTGGCATACAGACAATCCATCATTGATTGTATTAAGTCCAGTTTGGCTTTAATGGAAAAATTGATAAAGTTGGTATCAACGAGGATGTGGTAAGGTGGGCCCAGCTGAGTGTTATATTGGAAGAATAAGCAGGAAGGGTGCTGGGGGACTTCTCTTTCCTTCAGTGCACTGGGGTCCTTCTTTTCCTTCTTCTTAGGTTTTAATCTATCCTTTTCTTTAAGCCTCTCATCTCTTAGACTAAGCATTCGCTTCATGGTCGCATACTTCCTTGCTTTCTTTTGCTTCCCCATGCTCTTGCTGTACTCTTGCTTTGATATTTAATTCTTAAAAGGTAAATTATATGACTTTAAACAGATAATGTTCTGTGAGGAAAAAGTAGGTGTTAGTGTGAAAAGTAACAGGAAGCATACACAGTATCCTATGTAGCTACAGCTTAAGATAATAACACATTACTTTTCATTATTTTAAAGATTTACTTTTCATTATTTTAAAGACTCACACAGAGAGAGACAGAGAGAAGTCTTCAGTCTGCTGGTTCACTCACAAATGGCTGCAACAGCCAGAGCTGGACCTGTAGAAAGCCAGGAGCCAGAAGATTTTTCCAAGTCTCCCACAAGGGTGCAGGGGCCCAAGGGCTTTGGTCATCTTCTACTTCTTTCCCAGGCCATAGCAGAAAGCTGTACCAGAAGTAGAACAGCTGGGACTTGAACCGGAGCCCATAAGAGATGCTGGCACTGCAGGTGGCAGCTTTACCCTCTATGCCACGACACCTGCCCCCCAATAATATATTCTTTAAATATATTTCATCACTTAACATATTCTTTGAACATATTTTTAGTACTAATATACTTTGCCAAAGAACTATAGAAGATGGAGGTTGTTACATTACACTCAGGTGTCTGTGTTTAGATGTTTACCTGCATAATCAATAAGAAAACTTATGGAACACATATATGATAGGTAGGTAGGTAGGTAGATAGATAGATAGATAGAAAGATAGACAGACAGACAGACAGTCTTAAATGGCTGTTCTCTGAACTTTCTTTGGAAGCATTCCATTTCTCCACAGTGTGATGATGGTGGTGGTGATAGTAACACTTAGAAAACATTTACAGTCTGCAAGAGTTACCATCATCTTTAGATCATGCTCATTTAATCTTCCCAATAACTCGACAAGAGAGAACCAGCTAACCTCATAAGATAATGTGGGGAGCAACTGGGAGCAACTCGGACTAGACTAAGTTACTGGAATTAAGACTTATTCTATGCATCTGCTCTCCCACAATATGGCGCTGAGAAGGGAGAAACAGCTTCTACACAGCTGCCTCCAGTTCAACCAATAAACTGTGGGACCTTGCTCCTGATTGGAGAGCAGCGTACTCGGCGTGTGGGCAGCCGAGTTGGGATTGGCAGAGGAGGACTATAAAGGAGGAGAGAGACGGCATGCACGAGGAACATCTAAGGGGAACATCTGAGGGAACACCTGTGCAGCCCCCGAGAAAGCCGGCCGGCGGTGTGCCGCTCCCCTGCGGAAGTGGGGAATGTGGCAGGGGGAACTGCCCTTCCACGGAGGTGGAAGGGATAGTAGCCAACCCGGGAAGAACCAGCAGCAAACCCGGGGAGGGCCGAGCAGACAAAAGAACAGCGCAGGGTCCTGTGTCGTTCCTCCACGAAGAGGGGGAGCGACATAATGGTGCCGTGACTCGGATATGAAGCCTAGGCAGGGCTTAGTGTCGTTCCTCCACGAAGAGGGGGAGCGACATAATGGTGCCGTGACTCGGATATAAGCCTAGGCAGGGCTTAGTGTCATTCCTCCATGAAGAGGGGGAGCGACAGATAAGAAAACGGAAGCCTGGAGGGTTCAGTAACTTTCTCTAGGGGTGCAGTCAGGCAAGGGTTCCATATTAGGCAGTCTGAGTCAGCAACATCATGCATATAAGCTCTCTGGTTGAAATGAGAAAATCGTCTCCACAGTGGAAGAAAGGTTTCCATGACATGAGCTAAAAATTTTGGCATTTACAATATTTATTTGCCTAAAATCATCACCAAACCCAGTACAAATAATAATATACGAATTTTAAAAGGTTGAGGTGAACACCTGGGGGAAAACATGTCCTAAATAGAAAAATAATAGAAAATATTGGGAAGGAAGAAAATCACCCTGAAAAAATCATAGTGTACATGAAAATCTTTCATATATAGAAAAGCCATGACACACAGAAACAGAAACAGAATGGGTCCCTGGGTTAGCAGCCCAGAGTAGGCTGCTGTTCCCCCATGTCTTCCCTGTTACTTTTCTGATGATTTCCCAGCATCCCGTCTGTCAACACCAGTCATTCCTCCCCTCCATCCCAAAGGAGAATTTCCTGACCCAAATTGAATCATATGCTTCCTCTTCTTTAAAAACATGCCTTAATTGGTGCTTTGTAATTCCTCCAACATGATAAATGAAGATGCAGTTTCTTTCTTTCTCTCTCTCTTTTTTTTTTTTTTTTTTTTGACAGGCAGAGTGGACAGTGAGAGAGAGAGACAGAGAGAAAGGTCTTCCTTTTCCATTGGTTCACCCCCTAATGGCTGCTACGGCTGGCGCACCGCGCTGATCCGAAGGCAGGAGCCAGGTGCAGTTTCAAAAACTGCTGTCAGCTCCTTGTTTTCTCTTCCTTTTCCTTCTTCATCTGCATGGAGAGTATTCTAAACTCACTGTTATTTGAACACAGCTAGCACTTTGCACTACCATGATTTTAAAATCGTTTCTATATCTAATGTGTCTCTATTCCTCTCTTGCCTCTCAGATTCCTTTTTTGAATTTGAAGGATATAATACAAATTTAACATAAAGCTTCATCTAAACTGCTTTTCTGCTGTAGGCAATCTTTCTACTATGCTTTTAGAGCTGTGTCCATTGATTGAAACCACTCTTCTAAGTGTATAGCCCATTCAAATTGTAAGAACCAACAAGAGAATGCCTTCTTTCTTCTTTTTCAATGTTTCTTTGGATTCTGAATATATAATCAGAGTGCTTAGAATAAAGGAGATATTCAGTAAGTGAATGTTTATGTATTTGAATTAATAGAAAAAATCAATAAACTTCCACAAAAAGATTTACTTTTTAACAGTTATACTTAAGTCACTTGTAGGGATAAGCCTATGAAGCATTCAGAATTATATATCATGTGAGGAATTCTCTATTAGGGTAGAGAAATACTTGTTTAAATTCTAGTTAAGCAATTTTTATTAACTGATTAATTATTTTTTCATAATTAATAAATTAGTGATGATACTGAATATTTATTTGAGACTGAGTTTCCTAATATGCAAGATATAGATTCTACTTGCTGTGTTTTAATCTCATAGATTTATCATGAAAATGAAATTAAATATGAGGAAGTTTCAGAGGCCATCAAGTTCCACCCATGTAAATCTGTGAAACTTCACTTTTAACATCTAGTCAGGGTAAGCCTTTACAGGGATGGCTTAAGAGAGTGGCATTTTGGGGTTTTTGAAATCAGGTTCTGAGATACGTGTGGCACAGAGTTCCGGATGATACAGCCAGAAGAAAATACAGGACTATCAGACTGTTGGTCAAGAGTGGGTCATACAGTAAAGTATAAAGGCAAGAAAAATATCACTTTAAGCAACAATTTTGCTAAAGGTACGACTGAAATACATGCCCTCATCAAAGGTGAGTCTATCCATCTTACAACATTGAGGGGAAAATATCTCCTACAAATTGAGAAGAAACTTCCACAATATGAATTCTATGTTAAAAACAATTGATCTAATATGATTCAGTAGTTGAAAATTAACTTATATTATGTCCACATTAGACATTTTCCAGATTCATTTAGTGTGTCTTTTCAATGTCATCTATACCAATTTTTGAAGTAATGTGTACAGAAAAGACTTAGTTTTCTAAAATTTAGTTGATTCAAAATGCCTTTTAGCCAGAATGCTAAAGCATAATTTCTGAAATTGAATAGCACATGTAGTAAGTGAAAGGTTGAGATATGACATAGTTTTACTTCCCAGAGATAAATCATTTATATTTTGGAAATACACATATAATTTTAAAGATGGTTAGAGTAATTCCATTAAAGAAAATAAATTGACTTAAGCAAAATGGACTTTTATGGTTTTCCTTATAATACTTTTCAGTGTCACCAGGGTTTATTTAATTAATTTGTAAATCATATTGAGACTTTTGCCCTCAAATTGTAATGAAACTGCAAACTATTTTATTCTTATGCTTTTTAAAAGAGCTTTTATATTACTCTCAGGGCAAAACCATATGTGAGAAGTTGCAGAAGGTCACTATCTTGAAGTTAATAGGTTTTTCTTATTGTAATTTTTTCTCTATTTAAGTTAATTTTATTGTATTAACGCTACTGTACCTATGTGCAATTCTGTGTTACAATGTTGAGTGCAGCTGTAACCTGAACCTGTGATACCATGTTTTTTCTGTTGATTTTACAGATCAGAGTGCCTTAAAAGACTCTCCTGGGGTCTGAGCATAAGAAATTAGAATTTTCATCAGACCTCTAGTTTATTACAAATCACTCAAGGGTGGGAGAGTCTGGATACAAAATGATCAATAAGGTCTCAAAAACCTTTTTGATCACCTGCCAAAAAGAGGATTGCTTCTGAAAATGAGGATACGTTACATATGGTAATTTGATTTAGTGCTAAACCTACAATTTTTGACTTCATTTTTTTAAATTTGTTGTCTTCCAGATAACATACAGCAGCTTTTTCATGAGTACTTTCTAATCTACCTTGCACTTTTATGTTGCAGAGATGGCTTCTCTCCATAAACCTCATTAACTAACTTTTGGTACCTCCAAACTTTGAATTTGCAGCTCCTTTATCACCCTTAGAATTGACTGAATTTCACAGAGTTGGGGCCTTGCTATGGATGCGGCTTAAACTCAAGGGCATGCTGCAGCTGGTTTAATGTTCTATCCAAACCACTCAAACTTTGTCCAAATAGAAACAAATGATGTTTTGCTTTCTTATCGTGTATGTGTTCTCTGGGTTAGTACTTTCAATTTCTTTCAGGGATTCTTGTTTGCATTCACATCTTGGCTTAGTTCTAATGCTGTTGTGTCTCAAGGGACAGGGAATACCCAAAAAAATGGAGATGCATGCCACAGCAGGTGGTTGGTGGAGGAATAAGAGCACACCATTTTTTTTTTTTTTTTGACAGGCATAGTGGACAGTGACGGAGAGAGACAGAGAGAAAGGTCTTCCTTTTCCATTGGTTCACCCCACAGTGGCCGAGACGGCCGGCGCACTGTGCTGATCCGAAG